TGGTCCCCTCCCCCCCCCCCCCCCCCCTGAGTATGCTAGTTGCCTGAATGTCATAATAATCTTCTGGTTTAATCACTTTAAGTCACAGACCTGGAACATGCTCTGAATTGCTTCATGTATGTTTACAGGTCTGTGAACAGTTGTAGCCCAGCCTGAAACAGCCAAGAAGCCTGTATTTTCATTTAAAGGTCTTCACTGGCTGCAAACCAAAAGTGAACCTTTGGTTTGCCTGTGCAGGGCAAAACAGTTGTTCTTTTCATGCTGGTTCCACCAGAGGCACTTCCTGACCTTTCCTTTGCTACCATGTGGCCCTATTTACATCCTGGGCGTTAGTGACACTACACTCAGGAGTTAAACCTTAAAAATGCATTGAAGTACATTAACAAAAATGTAACTTATTTGTGTATTGGCTGTAAATCCTCAAATCATCAATAAGTCCCCGTTCATACCAACCAGGGTATTTGTAGCTCGTATTTTTCAGCACAGAAAAGCTCCCCACCAGAAATCCTATTGATTTTCTATTGTCTCAGTTTGTGTCTCAGCACAGCGTCGAGAAAAGTCAGTCGCTGGAAAAGGTACACAAGCTTCTTTTTTAGGCAGATCTGTGTGATGCGGAAAAAATCATCTCTGAATTGGTGCTGACACTGTCCTTCTGGAGGGTGACTACTTTTGTTCCCCATGATCCCTGTGTGTGTTGTAAAGTAGCCACCACTCCAAGCTTGCTTTTGTGATGGACTACAATCTCAGTACAAATTAGTAAACTAAATGTGAGATTGTTGTCCATCATTGAAGGGAACATTGAGTGGTGGCTACTTTACAACACACACGGGGACCATGGGGAACAAAAGTAGTCACCCTCCAGAAGGAAGGACAGTGTCGGCACAAAAAACATAATAATAAAATGTTAAAAGCAGAAAATATTTTTTCTAAAAAGGTTAGGAAAAAAAATAATTGTGTTTTTGGCCTTACTTTTTTTTCTATTTTTGGTTTTAGCCTCAAAATGTTATTTTGGTGCACCTCGTAAAAAAAAATCATGCTCTGCATAGTTCTGGGTCAATTACTCAAGTTTTAAGCAGTTTAAAATGTAGGACCGTTAAAGAAGAACTCCAGGAATGTAAAAAGTTAACCCTTGCAGTGGGGCTACCTCCACACTGCAAGGGCTTACTGCTCGTTTATCTGTAGTTCCCAGAATACAGAAGACATTCTCACTTGATCCTCGGTGCTCCGGAGAGGAGTGCTCGCTTCTTTCCCCCTGCACGCCTGCTGTGGCATGTCCCTCGATGTCCTCCGGTCTAATGCAGGTGAATGGACTGCATTAGATCTGATGTCAGTGGGGTTTAGACCGCTAGAGCTCAGGGAAAAAGAAGCTGCAAGGATTGGTCTAGCATCCATTTGTGATCGAGGATCAGATCAGGTTTTGTTTTCTGTTCTGTTTTTTTTTTAACTTGAGCCCGTAGACCAGGGGTGGACATCTCTGGCCCTCCAGCTTTTGTGGCAGTACAAGTTCCATGAGACATTGCAAGACTGGTTACAGGCGTGACTCCCAGAGGCATGTTGACATTTGCAGTTAAAGCACAGCTGGAGGGCCGGAGTTGCCCACCCCTGCCCTAGACCAAAATGGACAGTTAACCCTTGCACTGTGGGGGTAGCTTCACTGCAAGTGTTAAGTTTACATTTCTAAAGTTCCTCTTTTTAAAACTAGTATTTTTCAATGTTCTGGATGGGGTAGGATAGCTATAGCAACCCTGATTTGGCATTGGATATAGTTTAAACGTTTAGCTATACTGTAAAGTAGGCATTTCTCACTGCAAATTTCTTTTAACCAGTGAGCATCTTATTGAGCCGAGCGCAGTGAGTATGGGTCTAAAGGAAAAGCAATTTTTCCAAGATGGCTACCTGACAGTGTGTTTTAATATATCACGCTGTATGTATATATTGGACAACCCTTTTTAATGATCACACACCTTAGTGCAGCCTTTCTGGTCAAATACGTATTTTCCTCCCTTTGCAGTGAAAATACTTCCTCCAGCTCCCCTTCATGCATCCCTATTCTTATAAGTGAGCTGTACTTTTGGCGGCCTTTTGCAATCACGGCCGTGTGTGTGTTACACCAAAATTAAATTTTGAGACCAAAAATAAGTCAGGCTGAATTCTTTTTTATTTTTTAACTTTATGTCTGGCTGCTTCGGTGAAATATTAGGGGTCTAAACAGACTCCTGATATTTCCCTTTTACAATAGAAAACGATTGAGAACAGAGTCCTCAATCTCTTTTTCTGCAGCCACAGCATGGAATGAACAGGAATCCTCTACTGTACTGAGTGTTCCTGTTCATTCATATCTTGTGGATATTGTGTGAGTTACTATGTACACAATCCTGAATGGACAGGAAGTGATGTAGAGCACTTTCTATTAAGTCATAACTGGTACATAGTAACTCATACTATGTCCAGTTATTTACAAACAGTGATCTCTCACTGTATACCACTCTCCATCCTGGATCGGCTCACCGGAGGCTGAGCTTCCAGGGCAGGGAGGAGAGCTTGGTCTCATTTGACAGCTGACTCCTCCTCACCGCTGGCTCTGCCTCATGTGACAGCTGCCTCTGCCCACACACCGCTCTCCTGATCTGTTACAGGCGGCGGGGCGGTGTAGGAGGAAAGCTCCTCCTGTGACACTCTCGCAACGCTCTCCTCCCCCTCCCCACTCAGCCACCTGAAAGTTACACTCCTCCACGCTGGACACTGCGCTGTGTCAGAGGGGGCATAGCGGGGAGGAGAGAAATCACGGATGCGCCGCAATTTCAGCCGAAAGATGGCACTTTCGGCATTTTGTCCAAAGTGCCATTTTCAGCCGATATGTTTTGGCGGCTGGAATTCTGGTGATGCATGCATACATACATCATATATACAGTATAAGGTGACAATGCCCATTAACAAGTGACAATGCCCCATTAACAATTGAAAGTTTTTATATTTTAAAGCTGAACCAATACAGATATAAAAATACAAATTAATGCAGTTCTGTAATTAATAAATCATTAATCAATCATAGAAAAAACAAACGGTTAAAGGTCAGTACCTGTATAATGCCTCCTTTACTGAGTATGCCACCCCCCCCTGCCCCAGAAGAAGAGGCTCATATATTTATTAACAATAATATATATAATATTTTTTTTTTTTTTTGCTAGTGGCCTTTTTAAAGACTTTTATTGACTTAATTTAATATCCTTGAAGCACTGCTGAATATTTTTTCTCAGTGACTTCACTCAAGAAATCCATTCCATCCACATCACTGCTTGTGCTAGTGCCGACATAGCAGCTGTCTGGACCGATGTATCCTCAGCAAAAGCTTTAAAGGCTGTACTTGGACTCTGCTGGACAGAAGTTTGCGGGGCTAGCCTGGAATGTGACCTTCGGGCACTGAGCTTTGCATTGTGGTGCTTTTCAGACCTGTGTTAGCTGCTGAGCGCTAGTTGCCATAAGAGATTTTGAAAGAAGGCTGTAGTACTGCATGGGAACCACTATGGGTCTAAGAGTGTTGGCTATATAGATATGCAGGAAAAAGAAAACCAATATGCAAATATTAAAGTGGAAAAAATCCTTATTAGGGGGTCCCTAGGTGACATTAGGGGTCTTAAGACCCCTGATGTCTCCATAAAGAGGACCTGTCACTGCAAATTAGCTATCGCATAGGGAGCTTGCTTGCTCCCTATGTGATAGCAATAAAGTTCAGTGAAAAAAAAAGGTTTAAAAAAATGTGTTACTAAAAATAAAAAATCACATATCCTAGCAATAAAAATTAAAGTCCTCCGCCCCCACACGCAAACATACGTCAAGCCCACCTATGTGCTAAAACGGCGATTACATCCATTGCGCCGCACATGTTACATATTGCTGCGAACGTCGGAATGAGAACAATAATTCTAGGGTCATCAATCACTGATAACACTAAACTGACGAGTGGTAAAAGCTTTTAAAGCGTCGGTTATGGTAAATTTTGAGTATGGTTGTTTTTTGCAATTTAACGGGTGTTTTAAAGCTTGACATGTTTGGTGTCTATTTACCCGACGTGACCCCGTCTTTTATATTTTACCAAACAATTGGGTAATAATAAATGTTTTATAACATAACGTAGGGAGAACAGTTTTTTTCCCCAAAATTTTCGATACTTTTTTATTATACAGTAAAAAAAAATAAATGTAGTGGTGATTAAATACCACCAAAAGAAAGCTCTATCCGTCCCCAAAAAATGGTATAAAATTAATTTCTGTATAGGGTTGCATGACGGAATAAATGTCAGTCAAAGTACTGCAGCACTGAGGCCTGGTTCACACCTGTACATTTTGTAGCGCGTTCAACGCTCTACGGACGCTCTACAAAACGCTCAAATGAATACTGAAAAATGGCCTGGTCAGGAAGGGGGTATAAACACCCCGGTCAGCAAGTGGTCAAAGGATTTCTAAAGCCTCCGTTTTTTTTTTGCATATATCTACTGCTAGCAAGCAGTAGATATATGCAAAAAGTTTATATAAAAATCCGCTTTAACAGCGGTTTAAACTTACACCCGTCTTCACCGCGCGCTCCCTTCAGAAAATCCGAAACTTCTCGGGCGGCCGCAAAGCATATTGGGCCTGGCGCAGTTCGGATTTTCAGCCGGGAGACGAGAGACGCAAGGTAAATCTATGGACGCATGCACCCGCATGCAGACACCGTGGGACAGGAAGTATTGGCAAGGACAGAGGAGTCATCGCTGGATCGGAGAGCTGCCGCACCGCTTAAGGGACAGATGAAGACATCAGAAAAGAAGATCGGATTAAGAGACATCATTTAAGGTAAGTGCTGATATTAACATTGGGGGGAGGGGAAAAAATTACTTTAATTTTACTTTAAGTCCATTGAGCAACACATATCCTGACCCTCTGTCTGATTGGCTTCCTTACAAAAACGGAGCCATGCTGGGTT